AGAGCTACACCTTCCATTTTGGTTGTTTCAATTCCTAACTTTGTATAGTTTTTCATTTCTCTTTACACCTCTAGCTCCTTGGGCATTATGCCCCTATACCATCTCTGCATTTATATATCTAGGTTTTCAACTATTTATGATTGAAGTTTCTCTTCAATGCTTTAGAGTGTCCATGTTTTATTAATTCATCATTCTGACCATGTCACTGACATACCTTGAATCAGATTCAATGGCCTAGTAAATTAAGTCAGAATGTTATATCCTTTGAAAATTGCCAATATATAACAGTGGGTCACAGTGCCTTTCCTAAGCACCCATTGTATTAAACTGAGGAATGTATTTATAATGTGGGAGAAATAGGATTTGAATTCTTCTCAATCATATACCGTTATTCTGTGAAATATACAGAGATTCATATGAGGGGTCAGTGTGATACAAATCAAAATGGTGTTTTGAGACTTCACTTCCTGAAGCTCTGAGAAATAAAACTCTGTCAGAGAAATTCAGTTATCCCTAGGAAGTGGTGCAGAACAGGCCCAGTTTGAAGACTTAGTGTATTTTTCTATTACTATTAGAAGACACGATTCTTGTTTGAGGCATTCATAAGGTCACAGCGCTAGATGTTTTCTCAGCAGAATATATGCAGAGGTTTTTAAGAAGAGACTGGTTTCAAAAGATTGAGACTGTACTGTGTTCTAACAAAATCGCAGTCCTATCAACTGAACACAAACGACTCCTGAATTATATTTGATGTGCTTTAGATAGCAGGACCCACAGGTCACAGGGAGCTCTCTCCTTCTCGCTCTTCCACGTGGACACATGTCCACAGGAGACAGAGGATCTCACTCCACTGCTTATCCTATTGGCTGCCTAAATCCAGCTATTTGATTTCTGTAGTAGAAATTACACAGGTGCTAAAAAAAAAATTTTTTTTTTTTTTGTGAAAAAAAAAAAAAGTGTAAAAAAAAAAAAAAAAAAAAAAAAAAAAAAAAAAAAAAAACATAGCTGGTCCCAGACATATATCTTTGACTAATTGTTCGACCCAGATTTAAATTTGGAATTCTTGATCATATCAGTGTATGAGTAATTGAACTGTCCTTACTAGCCCATTACTAATGCTTCAAGGATTGGCAGATACATTTTGTCAGTTGTGATAACGGACACACATCTAAGAGGAGATTTTTCTCTCAGATAACATATTGTTAACAGTGAAGTATAGCATGCATCTCATGTGTAGGTATTCAGTTTCACTGTGAGTACCTAGGAGCACAGAGCGTACTAGTCATATGTTTATCAGAATATTTTCCATTCCCATTCCTGATATCACTGCATTTAGTTTTCATCTTGTCTATATAAAAAATAAGGGCATGCATAATTTCTATTTCAGTTCATTTTTCATAAACACCCAAATATTGTGATCAACACACTTCATATATATAATATATTACATATATGTTTATATACTTAACTGTACTTTCCTATTTGCACCATCACATGACTTTGCCTCACATTACTCCAATTTTCCCCATATTTGCTAATGACATATATACATTCATATATATGAATACATGATTAAATATTATCCCTGCAAAATGAGACCATGCATCGACTTTAGAGTTTTCAATATTGATGTAACTTACTAATTTCACCTTTTTTATATAGGTGTGAGGAATGAGAGCTGCGTGAGTATTGAACAAATTTCTGAAATGCATATACAGAATAGATCTGCCAAAGTAAACCAAACAAATGAAGATGGGTTATTTGTGACACAAGTTGATGAATGAAAAAAAAAAAAATCAAACCTGGCAGATCAATGGAGCTAAAATTCCTGATACAGAGCAATGAACACAAGAATATGTTGAGGCTGATATTACACTAGACTGGGTTATACTTTCAGGCCTAGAATCTGGAAAATACTAGATAAAGTCAGCAGTAAATTCCCTGTCTTTTGAGTTTCCTGGTACCTATTTGTTCTATTAACACATGGATGAAATGGCAAGGACATGCTTTCCAATTCCCTTAAAAGTGGCTAACCACATTCTAGATTGTGGAACCTCTTGACTTACTGATATAACATAAATCCACACATACATGATAACATTTGGGGACTATAAGTTAGACTCAAAAGGTCTTCAAAAAACTGTACTAATAAGTGCTGGAGAGGTGGCTCAGTGATTAAGAGCACTGGCTGTACTTGCAGAAGATGTGGGTTCAAATCCCAGCACCCATACTTGCCCAAAATATCTGCTTTAGTAGAAATGCTGAGTGTTAAAATTTTCTATAATATCCTAAGGGCACCTATACTTTGGTGCTGGAAGTCTGAAATCCACCAGAAGATTACTGCCGACGATTGAAGTGAGAAATCCTATGAATCCTTTGAAATGGTGCTTTTCTTGGGGGAGGGTCATATTTTCTTGGTTTTTCATGTGCAGCCAAGGGTAAACTTCCTCCACTTCTTGAGCATGGTTTGGTTCTTGTCCCCTGTCCAGGTAGTCTCAGGATAATTTTTATATCAATATGCTTCGAATTCCTTGTTCATATTTATGTGTTCTTTTTGAGAACAGTATTTTAGAGACCAATTTGCTCTCTTAGGGAACATTGCTTTCGAATGGTGCTTTTCCTTGGGGGGGTGTCATTTTTCCTTGGTTAACATATTTTTACTATTTTGGGGATGAGCTCTGGGCATCTGTTTGGTCTGTTTGTTGTTTTTCCTGAATTTTTTTAGCCAGGAGAATGGAATCTCAAGGTGAGGTTTCAAGATGGGTTTCTTTGGGAGTTGTCTCAAGAGGACAGAACCAGATTGGGGATTTAGGTAGTGGGGTAGGCTGTTTTACTATGTCCAGGTGTGGTCTAAGCCCACAGCAACTGTGTAAAGAGGGTGTGTACTGAGTCCTGGGCTAGAATCACTGGTGAAGCCAATTGGCTGGGATCTAGAGGAGTGTGCAAGGGGCGGGTTCTGAGTGAGTCAGGGACAGTCACTTGTGTCAGAGGAGTGAGTCAAAGAATGAAGTGGAGCAAATTCAAAGTGCTTTGAGAAGGGGTGTGGCATGGGCAGCGTTGGAAGTGTGAGGTAACAGGAAGCTGAGGCCCAGTGGGCGGGACCAGAGAGGAGGTGGAGCGTTGCCAAAGTCTGGCAGGACCGTAGGGCTTTAGGGCCTGGAAAACACCACTAAGACCTAAGGAGACCGGGTCTAGGTGGGACGGGAAACTTCACGGAAGTCACAGGAACCATGCAGAGCGGTCGGTGCAGAGTGGATAAGTGGCGAGTCCGGGAGGGACCATCGGGGTGGAGGAGTGTGTGGGCAGAATACGGAGGCCCTAGGAGTGACTCCTGGTCACGTGATCGGAGTGGCCCAGGGCACTCTGCCTTCAGAGTTGGGGGCTGGGAGCTACAGCAGGTCCCTGAAACTCACGTGGCAGTTAGATATTATTTATGCTTACTCTACAGCAAAGATCGCAGGTCTCAAAACTGGATTGTAAATATTTAGGTATGTTGATGTATGCATTGTCTTAGATTTAGATTATTAAAGGTAACTATCAGACCATATGAACTAAGACGAATCCTGATTCATTTCAGGTTGTGCTGACATTCAGTGACACGGCTGTGGACTTCTAACAGGAGGAGAGGGAATTCCTATATCTTGCTCAGAGGACTTTGCACAGAGGCCTGATGCTGGAGAATTACAGCTGTCTTGTTTTTGTTGGTGAGAATGGTTTTCTTACAGTATTTCTTGCTCATATTCAGATTTCCTTGGGGAATTATTGTGTGTGTGTTTGTGTGTGTCTGTGTGTTAGCTTTGTTGAATGAGTCTCACAACTCATAAAGAGAATATCTCTCAGGAGAAAAGAACAGTGTAATACAAATTTGTCTGTTTTCAGATTTGTCTTTTGGGAGGGGTTATGCTTCTTTCATTTTTGTTCCATATTAAATTCAGAAACTTTATAGGATACAATATTGTCACCCAATCATAGAGTTCCATTTCCAACCTGGTATTTGGGCTCATCTGCAATTAGAGGTGGAACACTAGATATTGAACCTTGAGAACTCTGTAAATATCAGTGTTCTGACAGAATATTCCAGTTGAAAAGACATTGGTAGAATTCCCTGTTATATTCTACCTGTTGACTGCACTACTGTTCAGAAATCCAAGTACTTTTTAAAGACTCAAATCATAAACCACCCAACACAGGCATACAAAGGTGCTAGAGCACTTGGTGTCTTGTGCATTATGCTATGATCATCTGGGGTCCTGGTGCTGATGGTGTTGTCCTGAAACACACTTAAGGGGCAGGTCGTCCTGAGGGACACACTGCTGCACACTTTTTGAGTGGAAACAAATTATCATCAATTATAAATTACATATGTAAGACATGGAGTCAGACGTCCATAAATTAAAATACAATATTTCCTGATTCTACTTCTTAATACTAATTTTTTAAATGTGCATGCATGTATTACCTGCATGTAGGTAAGTGCACCCATATCGTGCAATTCCCACAGATGTTAGAAGCGGCTGTCAGATCCCCTGGGAGTGGAGTTACAGGCAGTTGTTATCTGCCATGTAGGTGTAGTGAATCAAGCCCTTGTCTTCTGCAAGAACAACCAGTGTTCTTAAATAGTGAGCCATCTCTCCAGCCCCAATATTAATTTTTACAAAATGTTTTTTATCATTTTTATTTTATGGGTATGAGTGTATTGCCTGCGTTCATATAAGTGCACCCATGTCTGCAGTACCCACTGAGGTCAGAAGAGGGAATTGGATGCCCTGGAACTGAAATTACAGATAGCTGTTAACTGCCATGTGGGTGCTGGGAATCAAACCTGGGTCCATTGCAAGAACAGCCTGTGCTCTGAACCTCTGAGCTATCTTTCCTGCCCCTTAATGTTAATTTTTGACAAAGAAGAACTATATGTATTTAGTGTGATATTTTGTTTTTCTACATACATTTTTGAAATTGACTATTAAATTTACATATTTACCACTTCATGAATTTTTCCTATTAAAATATATATGGTGGCAGTAATATTGCAATGTAGTTTTGAGACTGAAAACTGGCTATAAACCGAATTTTTATAAAGTGACTGCTCCTCCATACTGGCTGTGAAATTTGAGAGTCTTAATTAAAATCAAAGTCCTCCAAAGTCATCAGGAGAGATACATTTAATGTCTCAGTTAAGTACATAATACACTAGCATTCAAGAAAAAAGTTTCTATTCTTTCTGAAATTCAGCTGCACAACCCTAATGTCCCTCAGTCTATTAGTGGATCCTGTACATTTGCTACATTTACACTGGAGTTCTACTTTGTGGTAAAGGAAAAGGAAATCAAGTAACTTGTAAGTCAATGGATGGAACTAGAAATGGCTGTACTAAGTGAGCCATGGGTGTTCTCTCAATTGTGGTTCCTACCACCAAATCCTGAATACTCAAAGGAAGTGAATTCTGTATGGGCTAGAGATATGTGCACTCACTAATTATTGAAACACTGTTTGAAGAATAGGGAATCTACTGAAATGTCCATTGACAAATGAAAGATTTACTGAAATGCGATATTTCTAAAGAATACACCACTATTCCATGATAGAGAACAGGATTGACCTGGTAGACACTTTATCAGGTAAAGAAGTTGAAACACATGAATCTTCTCATTGAGAACAGGATTGACCTGGTAGACACTTTATCAGGTAAAGAAGTTGAAACACAAGCACTACATGATCTGTCATAAGAGAAATAGAAAAAGGAAAGATAGATGATAGATGTTGAGGGCGCAATAGGAAGCAGTTTGCAGTTAATGGGGGGGATGTGTGGTAAATAACAGAAACAGCTTCCTGGCTTCATGGCTTAACTAAGTTCTATTCTGTGCCACAACAAGGTAAATAAAATAATTCAACTTGCATTTTATATATTAAAATTGTTAGAAAAATATCTGTTTGGATACACTCACCTTAGGAAAGGATAAATTTTTACATGTGAATATATTAATAACTGACTAGATCATTTTCCAATGTATATGTATAACAAAATATCATGGTAATGTCACAAATATGTAAAATATGTTGTCCTCAGACAATAATGGTTTCGTTTTTATTAAAAGCTTTATTTATTTATTATTTTTCATGTGTAAGAGTGTTATGCTTGTGTGTGTATGTACGTGCAGCCATGTCAGCAATGTGTGTGGAGGCTGGAAGACAGTGGGAACCCCTGGAACAGGTGTTCAGTACAATTGTTAACACCATGTTAGTGCTGCAAACCCAACCCACATCCTATGCAAGAGCAGCCAGTATTCTTGACCTCTGAACCATCTCTACAGTCCCAAGAATAGATGTTTAAAATTCACAGTGAATTAATCCTGAACTTCAGCCTTTAAAAGAAAAACTCTCACTTATGAATCTCCCCCCCAATTCTGTCCATGAAGCTAAGTAGAAGCATCAGTGCTGTTTAAATGAACAGTTGCAGGCAAAAGAGAGTCAGGCTACCAGTGCTTCTGAAAGAGAGCTTAGTTTAGCCTCTGTTGCAATGGATGAAAACCATGTTGCTCGGCCTTGTTTAATTAGGAGGTGAGACAGTTACAGTCCCTGAATGTAGTAGAAATTCTTGTTCTTGTTGGCAGGGCAGACCACTCGAAGGCAGGAAAGCAGAAACTTCTATGGGGTCTCCTTGTAGAGCTTTCTTCCTGTGCATCTGCTGTGACAGCAGACAGTATAGTGGCCTGTTTTGTTTTCTGTCGTGCTTCTTCCTCTTTTTACATTGGCAGGTGAAGTGAATTTTCAGTGAACTGAAAAGAAGTTTCTTGAAAAAGAGAGAAGACTGTTTATGTGTTTCCCAGAAAGGAAACTCACAGAAGGAGAGAGATGGCTTCGGTTCAGGTAAATACATCCAAGGGCCTTGACCTTGTACATTTTCTTTCTCTGTGTTTGGGAATTTGAACTTGTAACATAGTCTCATCCAGAAAGTAGCTATATAGACCAGGCTAGCCTGGATCTCACAGAGATCCTCGTGCCTCTTCCTCAGGAGTCCTTGGAGTAAAGGCCTGCACCACCATGCCCGGGCCACATTTCATGTATCACCTGTGTAGTATATCCACCTCTCCATTTTGTCCTCCAGTGCTTATGCTTTCCCACCTAATCCAATCAATTCATGACCAACCATCTCAAAAATGTTTCTGATATGATAGGTGAACGTTCAAACATGTCGGTCTTCAGTTTCTAAGGAGGATAGAATTGAGTCCTCATATGCCACTGTATTGTTGTTTGAACTGTACATTAAACTGATATTTTTGTTTTCTTTAATGCGGGTATTGTATTACGTGTACAAGTGTATTGCGTGAATGTATGTGAGTGCACCTGTGTCGTGCAATCCCATGGAGGTCAGAAGGGACCTTTGGATTCCAATGGAACTGGAGTTAAGAACAGTTCATAGCCACCATGTGGGTGCTGGCAATCGAACCCTTGTCCTCTGCAAGAGCAGTCACTGCTCTTAACTGCTGAGCCATCTCTCCAGCCCCAACAACATTGTTTTTAGTTTGTTAGGAATAAGTTTTCTTCTGGTAGTTACAGAGTGAAGCACACAAAATACGACATTTAATGCAGGATCTCTCCTTTCATCACTGGTAGTTTTCTTCCTTTCTTTGGAAAGTTTTTTTCCTTTCCTGTCTTTCTTCCTTTCTCATTTGTTTGCTAAATCCCAAGTTCTCCAAGTGGAGATTCTGAAGCAGACATCTTCACACTCAATCACAGTACTGCCTCCTTTACTGGTTATTTCATCCTCAGTAAAGAGCTCTCTTTATCAAATGTTACACACATGTGGTTGTCTGATTTTGGAAGCATTTGTGTATGCAGCGTCAGCATTGTTCAGCCGGCGTTGGATCTTGTCTTCAGGTTTTCATTACTCTTCCCTGAGAAGCCAGTTCTCAAATCCTGTTATTGTGGTGTGCATAAGTCAGCAGTGTGTTCCTTCTAGGTAAATTTTAGGTCGGTAAATGAAGACAGCACACACAGTTCTTTATACGCCACAATGTTCTATTCATTGCTGTTGGAGAACATGTCTTTTATACCTAGGGTCCTGGCCTCACTGCAATGTCTGTAAGGAAAGGGTTAAGTCAGGCCCAGCCACAGATCATGTTAAGGTGAAAATCTGTGTTTTAGATAGGACTAATGTGCATGGTTATAAACATTCGAATTTATGAAGCAGTGTTATAAATCAGTGTAACTTTACATCAGATAAGTATATACAACTGATCTCATATGCTACTAATATAGGAGCGAAATGCAATTCCTATGTTGAGGGCTTAATTTAACAATCATAATCTTCATAAAAATTTGGAGGGTCTGATGCTATTCTTTTTTGCACAGAGTTTGAGAGTAGATGATAAATAGTTACTCCATTAAGAAATATCCTTTTTATTAATTTAGATTTCTCATCTAATTCAGAAGAGTCATTTACTAATTATCTCTTTCTTTCTTGGGTCCAGTACCATGTTTCAGTGCACATGTTCTAATTGTCATTTTCCATTTTAGGATCCATTGACATTCAAGGATGTGTCCATAGACTTCTCCCAGGAGGAGTGGGAATGCCTAGACTCTACTCAGAGGGCTTTGTACAGGGAGTTGATGTTGGAGAACTACAGCAATCTGGTGTCTATAGGTGAAGAGATTTTTCTTGGACAAGTTTTTACTATTCTGCATCACTTGACAGATTATAGCCTACTTTCTGCATATGTTAGTTTTGCTACTTAAGTCTTGGATCCTTTAAAAATTAAATTATGGGCATCGTGAAGAACGTATTTATGTTTTATCAGTTCTTTCCATTTCCACTTGTTAGAGGAATTATCCATTTTCTTTACTTTTGGTGTTAATTTCAGCCACCCATTTGTGCAAAAACACTGTAGCCAGAATCTTAAAGTTCCATTGCCATAGCTGAATTGTGAGTCAGTGATAGAACCCACCACATGAAAACTGAAAAAATTCCTAAACTCTCTAACGAAACTGTCAGAAAATAAAAACTGAGAAATTATTGGAGAAGCCAGGAGGGGTGGTGCATGCCTTTAATCCCAGCTCTCAGGAGGCAGAGGCAGGTGGACCTCTGTGAGTTCAAGGCCAGCCTGGTCTACACAGTGAGTTCCAAGACAGCTGGGGCTAAAGGGAGACCCTGTCTCAAAAAGACCAAAAAAAAAAAAAAAAAAAAAGGAGAAATTATCAGAGAGTCGCTCTTTTTTGGTGTTAATTTCAGCCACCCATTAGTACACGGTACTGTAGACAGAATCTTTTTTATTATTTTTTCATTTATAACTTTTAGAAAAACTTTATTGAGAATTTCATACGTATATATAAGGTGTTTTGATCAAATCCATGCCCACTCCCTCCCCTCCAACATTCCCCCCTCTGGAGAGGTAACCCTAAAGTCTTTTAATGATTTCATACAAGTTCCCTTTGGAGCTTCCTTTGGAACAGAGTAGGTTGCCAACAGGCCCAAGGACATTTTGACTTTTAGCCAGTAACTGTGTAGCCAGAATTTTACAGTTCCATTGTGAATTGTGAATCAGTGATAGAACTCACCATAAGAAAACTGAAAAAATTCCTATGTACTTTAATGAGTCTGTCAGAAAAGCAAAATTGTGAAATTATTTGGAGAGTCCGTTATTATTCTGAATATTATTTGTGGAGCATAGTGCCACGTTACAAATTCAGTACTTTCTAAAGAGTCAAGCAAGCATGATGTGCCTCTTCTTCATACACTGGTCTTGCTGTATGTAAGCCGGTTCTGGTCTCCTGTTCTTCAGACGTTTTGATACACAACACAAATCCATAGCACATTTCACAAAATAAATAAGTTATCATAATCAGAATGTGAACTATATCTAGGAACTCTTTTCACCTTGGGGAATGTGACATGAGAGTGATGTAAACTTTTTGAACTCATCTAATCTTTCCTCAGGTATTTCGTACACTGGGTTTGTGATTGTAGAAAAAGATTTCATTTACTATTGATTGAGAAATCATAGTCTTCCCTCCTAACTCTTTTTAATTTTTTTTATTTATTTATATTTATGTTATGTGTATGTGCCAGAGAGCTTTAGTGTCCAGTCAACAGCCTGGGTTGAGGGATCCTCAATTGGGGAATTTCCACTGGACTGGGCTGTGTGTTTTCTGTGGGAAATCTTCTTGCTTATTGAATTATGTGGGAGAGTCCCACCCACTGGAGGTGGTGCTACCCCTGGTCAGGTGGGCCTATGTTGTATAAAAATGCAGGTTCAGCAGGGAGGGACCAGGGGAACAAACCAGTAAGCAGTGTTCCTTCATGGCCTGTGCCTCATCTCTACCTCCACGTTCCTGCCTAATTTCCTACCTCAGGCCCCCTGATGAACTGTGACCCAGAAGAACTCAGATAAAATAAATCCTTTTCTCTCCAAGTTGGTATTCATCAAAGTATTTTGTCACAGAAATGGAGAAACAAAGTAGGATAAAATTGGTAACAGAGAGTAAGGCATTACTGCGACAGTCCTGCTCTTGGTATCTTTAGGAGGACTGTGGTAGTGTTCAGAACTTTGGACTGTAAAAGACATTGAGGGCTTAGAGTTTGTTGCTGTGGAGCTTGGAAGAGTTGTGCTGAAAGAGCTGTGAACAGTGGTGGCCGGGCTTGTGAAGCTTCCAAAGGAAGCAGAGACTATAAGGGCTGTTTGTGTGATCTCTTGAATTGAGAACATTTGCTTTCTGTTCAGCTGGACCTGAAGAATCAGCTGGGATTATGAGACTGGAGTTAAACCTTTGCTTTACTGGGACAATTGATGCTGCTTAGGTGGGGTGAGAAATCAGCTGTAATTAAAAAGAGACCAGCATCACTTTGGCAAAGTCTTCTGCAAAGTATTTCCTCAGCGTCAGCACAGGAACTGTGATTCAGAGGGGGTATGAGAGTCCATTTCAAGGTGGAAGCAGGATGTGGTAATGTGTAATAGTCTCCTCCATGGTTCTGGTGTTGAAATTGTGAAGGGATCACAGAGAGCAGCTGAGAATTGTCACCCGAAAGTGTGTACTGTTTTATATTGTCATATTAATGTTAAAATCATATCTTTTGGACAAGAAATCAAAAAGTTGTGGTATAATAGTGATGTAGACAAGGGTTCAGTTGAACTGGATAGCTTTAGTGACAACTTGACATATCTGGGTTGAGGCATGCTCAATTGGGGAATTTCCTCCATTAGACTTGCCTGTGAACAAGTCTGTGGGCATCTTCTTGACTATTGAGTGATGTGGGGGGGGGTCCAGGCCATTCTGGGTGCTGATATCCCTGGGAAGGGGGGCCTATGTTGTATAAGAAAGCAGGTTGAGCAGGGACCAGGGGAGCATGCCAGTAAGCAGCGTTCCTCTATGGTCTGTGCTCCAGCTTCTACCTTCAGGTTCCTGCCTGGAGTTCCTACATTTGACTCCCTGATGAGCTGTGACCTTGGCAATGTTAGCTAAATAAACCCTTTCCTCCCAAAATTGGTATTGCTCAGAGGATTTTGTCACAGCAATGGAGAAACAAACTAGAACAGCGTATGAAGGTATTACTTGCATATATGTAAATGTGCCTATGTCCTGCACTGCCCATGGAGGTCAGAAGAGAGTATCGAATCCACTGGAACTGGAACTGTAGTTAAGGACATTTTTACCCACCACGTGTGTGTTGGGAAACGAACCTGGATACTCTGGAAGAGCAGCCCGTGGTCTGAGCCACTGAACTATCTCTGCAGGCCCCTCTTGTCTTTCTTTATGCTGCTGAATCAGTCGGTCCTGTCACTCTTTGACTCAGTAATGAGAGTTCTAAAGATGTCATTCAGTATATTGCCTTCTTTCCTTACATTCACACTGCAAATGAAATAGTGTTTACCGACGGAGGAGAAAAATGTTTTTTTCAAATGTATTCACCTGTTTCAGGCACTCAAGTGGAATAGTAAAGACACAGGATTTTCTTTTAATTGAACAGTTGTAATTTTTAGACATTTTTCCATATAGTTGATTATACTATTAATGTTACCAACCAATGAGTTTTAAAAGGCTATTCAGTTATTCATTATGAAAGATGCTGCTAAGACTAGAAATTCACAGCTATGTTGGCTCATGCCTTTATTCCCAGCACTAGCGAGGCAGAGGGAGGTGGATGTCTGTGAGATTAAGGGCAACCTGGTCTACCTAGGTAGATAATTCTAGGACAGGTGGGGCTACAGAGAGGCCCTGTCGCAAATGAACCAGGTTAAAAAAAAAAGAATAGGAATGCATAAGACACTGTAAATGCCCCACATTAGTCTTCCCATTCAATACTTGACCCATTTCTCAGTTTTCTTCCATTTAGCATACTTTGGGAAAGTTTTTGACTTCACATTATTTCATGAATTGTTCCTATAAGGATTTTATGAATGATTATAGAGTTTTTTGTTCGTTTGTTTGTTTGCTTGTTTTTTGACTTTTTGAGACAGTCTCCCTGTAGTCCAAGCTGGCCTGGAACTTGCTATGCAGACCAGGCTGGCCTTGAGCTCACAGAGATCTGCCTGCTTCTGCTTCCCTAGTGCTGAGATTAAAGGTGTGCTCCACCACACCCAGTTTATTAT